GTTGGATTGTTTGGGTTTTTTGATATTGAGTTGTTTACTTTCTTTATTTAATTTAAATATCAGCACTTTACTGGATATATAATTTGCAAATATCTTTTCCAATTCAGAAGGTTGCCTTTTCATTTTGTTGATTCCTTTGTTCATTTGTTCAAAGGAAATGTGTTCATTTCCTTCACTGTACAAAAGCTTTTTCAATTTGATATAGTTCCATTTATCTTTGTATTCTCTGTCCTGGCCTGAGAAAATAGAACCCCCCTCCCAAATTGCAAAGATCTATGTCAAAGAGCATACTGCCTATGTTTTCATATAGGAGTTTATGGTTTCAGGACTTACATTTAAATCTTCAATCCATTTTGAGCTTATTTTCATATATGGTATGAGAAAGTAGTCCAGTTTGATTATTTTGCATGTAGCTGTCAGTCTTCCCAGCATCATTTATTGAAGATGCTGTCCTTTCCTGATTGTATATTCTTGTTTCCTTTGCCCTATATTAACTGACCGTTTAAGAGTTTATTTCTAGGCTCTCTTTTCTGTTCTCTTGATCTATGTATGCTTTTGTGCCAGTACCATGCTCTTTTGATTACTATAGCTTTGTAGTATACTTTGAAACCAGAGCGTGTGATATCTTCAGCATTTTTTTTTGCTTTCTCAAAATTACTTTGACTTTCTGGGTCTTTTGTGGTTCCATATACATTTTAGGATTATTTGTTCTAGTCCTATTTAAAATGCCATTGGTATTTTGATAGGCATTGCCTTGAGTCTGCATGTTGCTTTGGGTAGTATGGACATTTTAACAATATTAATTCTTTCATTCCGTGAACATGTTATATCTGTCCATTTATTTGTGCTGTCTCCAGTTTCTTTCATCAGTGTCTTAATGGTTTTCAGAGTTTTTCTCCTCCTTGGTTAAATTTATTACTAGGTATTTCATTCTTTTTGATGCAATAGTAAGTGGGGTTGTTTTCTTAATTTCTTTTTCTGATAGGCCATTGTTAGCGTGTAGAAGTATATCTGATTTCTGTGTTTTAGTTTTGTACCCTGAAACTTTACTGAATTAATTTATTAGTTATAATAGCTTTTTGGTGGAATCTTTAGGATTTCTATATGTAGTCTTGTGTTATCTGCAAATATTGACAGTTTTACTTCTTCCTTTCCAATTTGGGTGCCTTTTATTTATTTTTCTTTCCAGTGCATGTTGAATAAGCTTATTAATTCATTTAGTGCTTGACTATCCCCACAGGATCTTGACTTTACCATCTGAGATGTTTTTGCTGTTTTATGAAAAACAGTGTTGGTTTGCAACTGAGTAAATTTCTTAGCCTATTTCTTGTCAACTGGAGGTCAGGGGCTTGAAGCCCTTTTAGAAACAGGAGCAATCTCAGTACCTTTTAATGGAAATTGGTGGCTCATTCTTGATACAACTCCCTAAAAGCTTCATAGGCTTTCTATGTATTAATGTAGAAATGTAGAATCAAATTTCCAATTCATTTTGCAGAAACAACAACTACTGTCTTTTTTATTTGCCTCTCTTTACTTTGACCAAACATTTCTTTGAAAAAAAAAAATGCCTTGAAGATTCTGAGAGGTCCTTTTTACTGACTGAGAAGGCCTATTGGGCATAACTTTAAATCTTTCAGATGTCTTAAAGCCATACTTTTCATACCATTCAGCAGTATCTTACTTTATAAGTTATTTAAAATTTTAAATAAGATTATATCTTGGCCAAAAACAAACATTCATGATATTTCACATGTCACTTTGGTGCAAAATCAGATTGGGCTAGCAAATTTTTATTCTTTAAGTACATTGGTCTCTGTATCCTAGTTATACTTTTCCTTGATGTAAAACAATTTCAAACCAGTATTACTCCCAAATAATGTCTAATTATAATATCTATTTAACCATATTTTAGTTTCCAATTCAATCCCACAACCCAATCAATGCAATAAGATTATAATTTCTATTTCATAGTTAAGAAAAAGAAGATTTAGAGAGGTTAATCTCCATTCTAAAATTACACTGTTATTAGAATAACTGGCATTTAAACTTCAAGTTGTCTGTCTTCAAAGCTATAAAACTGGCCATTTCACTCCACTGTGTTTCATCATAATAAGCTCACCCTCTGGCATTACACTTTACAGTTTACCAAGCATGATCTTATTTGATCTCATTTAATCCAGACCCTAGAGATTGGAGGATTCTCTGTCATGGCCAAATACAGGGCTAAACTAAAATTTAAATTCCTCTACTCTTCAGCAAAGCAAAAATGAATGATTTCATAATGACTTTCCTTCTTCCCTATGTGTAAAAAAACAGTGATTTGCCTAATCATTTTAACCAACTAACCTAGAGTTTCTGATCAACAACAAATTCAAGTGCTTAACAATTTGTAACACGTTTCTCCATTTTTCTTTCCTTTCATTGAGTTTGGTTGATTTGTGCATAGTAGAAGTGGGTCTGTAGTTGGAAGAATATGTCAGATTGGGCATCATTTGTGCAAACTGCATCATGTGAAATGCCAGGCTGGCTGAAGCACAAGCTGGAATCAAGATTGCTGGAAAAAATATCAGTAACCTCAGATATGCAGATGACACCACCCTTATGGCAGAAAGTGAAGAACTAAAGAGCCTCTTGATGAAAGTGAAAGAGGAGAGTGAAAAAGTTGGCTTAAAGCTCAACATTCAAAAAATGAAGTCCATGGCATCCAGTCCCGTCACTTCATCACAAATTGAATGAGAAACAATGGAAACAGTGACAGACTTCATTTTCTTGGGCTCCAAAATCACTTCAGATAGTGACTGCAGCCACGAAATTAAAAGGTGCTTGCTCCTTGGAAGAAAAGCTATGACAAATCTAGACAGCATATTAAAAAGCAGAGAAAATATTTACCCACAAAGGTCCAACTAGTCAAAGTTATGGTTTTTCCAGTAGTCATGTATGGAGGTGAGAGTTGGACTATAAAGAAGGCTGAGCACAGAAGAACTGATGCTTTTAAACTATGGTGCTGGAGAAGACTCTTTAGAGTCCCTGGGACTGCAAGAAGATCAAACCAGTCAATTCTAAAGGAAATCAGTCCTAAATATTCATTGGAAGGACTGATGCTGAAGCTGAAACTCCAATACTTTGACCACCTGATGCAAAGAACTGACTCATTAAAAAAGACCCTGATGCTGGGAAAGATTGAAGGCAGAAAGAGAAGGGGATGACAGAGGACGAGATGGTTGGATGGCATCATTGACTCAATGGACATGAGTTTGAGCAGGCTCCGGGAAATGGTAGACAGGCAAGCCTGGTATGTTGCAGTCCATGGGGTCACAAAGAGTCAGACTCAACAGAGTGACTGAACAAAAACAACAGCCATGATGTAAACCAAGAGAGCATGATGGTCTGACCAAAGCTCAGGGCTTAGGTGGACCAAGACACTGAAGTCAAGCAGAAATGATCAAATAGCACTATTTTTTAACTTTCTCAACAGTACATAAAACTGGCTTTGGACCTCTGTGCATTTGTTGATCATTCAGCACTTTGAGCTCCCACCTAGTGGCGCTGCATGCCAGTCAACGGTTCATAGTTGAACATGTTGCCATGTTCTCTGAATAGCAGGGCTTGTTTGTCCAAGGGATTGCCTTTTTTTATTGCATTTTGTCCTTCCTGTCTTATAATTGTGAATGGAAAGTAGAAAAATGCAAGTGCCGCTACTTGTAGCAAAAGCAGAGATGTAATAAACTTAATTCGAAAAAAAGCTAGAAATTGCCCCAGTATAATGCTTCAATATGTGTGTGGGCTTTGAACGCAGACTGCTTTGAATGTAGGCTCTATCACTTACCGGTTGGATGACCTTAGGCAAAATGCTTTTCTGTCTTCTACAAAATGGGGATTAAAATAAAATTCCTTTCTCATACATTATGCGAGGATTAAATTACATAGTCATGAAAGATGCTATTTAGACACTCTGTAAGGTAGTGCTTTTCAAACTAGAGTGTCCTGACCAGCAGCAACAGCATCACCTGGGAACTTGTTTGAGATACAAATTCTCTAGCCCCACCCCAGATCTGCTGAATCAGAAACCCTAGGATTGGACTCAGCAATGTGTGTGTCACCAAGCAATCTGGGTGATTCTGACGCACTCTAAGGAGAATACTGACATACATTATGATGGGTAAAAGTAGTCTCGGAAGTTAGCTGATCTAGATTTAAATTCCAGGCCTGCCTCTCACTAACTGTGTGACCTGGGATGAGCTCTATGGCATGCTGGGCTTCCCTGGGGGCTCAGGCAATAAAGAAGCTGCTTGCAGTGCAGGCGATCCGGGTTTGATCCCTGGGTTGGAAAGATCCCCTGGAGAAGGGAATGGCTGCCCACTCCACCATTGTTACCTGGAGAATTCCACGCGCAGAGGAGCCCAGCCGGCTACAGTCCATGGGGTCACAAAGAGCTGAACACGACTGCCTGACTAGCACTTTCACTTTTTTCATATAACATGTTGGTGTCTCTGTTTTCTCATCTGCATATTTACAACAATATTATGTTTATCCTAGACTCGTAATGAAAATTTTAAAAACATATCAATCGTATAGCAAGTCTTCAATACATGATACCTGGTTGTTTGCTGGCTCATATTGTTCGTTTTTTTTTTTACTTCAGACTTTAATTATACTTAATCCAATTGGCTTCATGCTTAATTGTGGAGGAAAATCAAAATTAAAGAGCATTATGAAATGTTGAAAATATATGGTGGGAGATTTTTTTCTAAAATTAGAAGCAAATACGAATTTTATTTTTTCTCTATTTTGGAAAATAACCCTCCTTTACAAACGGTAGTTTATAGTTTGACTTCTATACTTTTGATCATTGAACACTATCTAAGGAACATATAATTTCAGAAAATATTAGCAAAACATCACTGCCCCAGAGCTGATCCTCTCACCAGGGACTTCGTGGTCTGCCAAGAAGGTAGAGGAGGTTGGACAGAGAGAGAAGGAGAATGCCCAGAGCCTGCCAGTCAGGATCTAAAGGCCAGTCCCTCCCAATACAGGGCTGACGTTGGCTTTGGCTGGAGGCCCACTCGAAGAAGTACTGCCGACACCCGGAACTTAGGTGCGGCCTGAGCAGGTGTGACCAGCAGGCTCTCTGAAGGCCTCTGCACCTGCCAGCAGGCAGGCCTAGTGAAAACCCAGAAACAGAGGAAACAGGAGCGAATGCAACAGTGGGCCAAACCGCAGGGAGCCATGGAGACTCTTGGCTACACTGGCCATAACTCAGAGCAGAAACAAACCTTCCTTCTGAAGAGGAGGAGGAAAAGAGCAGAAAGGATTGTGCTCCTAGTCATTCTTCTGCCACTGACTGCTTATCAGACTCCAGACAAGCCGCTGGCCCCTACCCATTTCCCCAATCTAAAAAATACCAGAAGAGCTGCCATGAAAACGGAGGATTTTTGACAGTTTGCACGTACATCAAACACTTACTTGTGGTGAGTAAGTTTCCTAAGACCATGATGGTGACCCTTCCACTGCCCCAGCCACCAGCTCCCGGAGCTGGCACGCATCTCTACCTGTACCACTGCTGTTGGCATGGTAACACGAGCATCTGTGCACGCCTGAGCCCAGGCCTTCATCTGTGTGGCTCGATTTTGGGATGGCTGTGTGTGGTCTGATAATAGCCCTTGTCAGAGATGCCCCAGACACACCCCTACCCACAGGATATAAGGGTGCTTCTGATCTCCTGGAATCTCCTAACTTTCTCACCTTTGGAAGAAAAGCACCCTCATTTTTCCTAATCTCTTTATCTTGCATTCTCTTTTCTCTCCCTTCAACTCTCATCTCCTCTAAACTTGGCTTTGGGAGAGAATAAAGTTAATTCAGAATTATAGCTGAACCTCATCAAGACATGCAACTTTTCTGAGCCTCAGTTTCCTCATTTTATAAGCTAGGGTAGTGGTATATATCTCATACCATCATCAAGAAGATTACACAAGAAAATACACATAATGTGCTTAGTCCCTTAGCCCAGGGCCTCCTCTATAGGAAGTGCCCAACATATGAGCACTAATTTTGTTATCACCATCATCTACATCATTATCATGAGCCCATAGCATTTACCTCTGGATTCACCTACTTATTTCAGCTTTGTCTCCATATGGGACTGAAGACTCCATGATGGCAAGGAGCCTGTTTTGCTCACTACAGGTTCTTCACCCAATGTTTGGTACACAGAGAGGTTCTAAAAGAATTTGTGAAATAGATGTTGGAAAGCAGGAGCTGGACAAAATCTTTTTAAATAATTGTATTTATTTTGGGGCTGTGCTGGGTCTTGGCTACTGCACATGGGCTTTTGCTAGTTGTGGCAAGTGGGGGCTACTGCCCAGCTGTGTTACACAGGCTTCTCATTGCAGTGGCTTCTCCTGTTGTGGAGCGCAGGTTTTAGAGCTCGGGACTTTAGTAGTTGAGGGCTTCGTGGCCCTGAGGCATATGGAATCTTTCCAGACCAGGGATCAAACCTGTTGCCCCTGCATTGGCAGGTGGATTTCTAACCACTGGACCACCAGGGAAGTCCTGAGCAAAGACTTCTAAAGTAAGGTGTGAATGTGTGTGTGAGTGTGTGTTTGTATTTGCGTGTGCATTTCTGCTTGTGCACTGCAGTGATGAATAAGCTAGCTCCCTTCTCTGCTGCACATGTAGCTCCACCTCACACTTAGAGCCTAATCGACTGGAATAGCCCTGTGGGGACTCTTTGGTGCTAATCTATTTTAGTCCCTTCCCCAAGGCACCCAGCCAGCCTGCCCTCATCCCCAGGGAGCCACAAGATCAGAATCACTACCGTTTATCACACACTTACTAACTGGTGTGGAAGATGGTCACTGAAAATTGAGTGGAATAAATAGCCAGCTTATCTACAGTTAATGTTTTCAAAAAAGAACAGAGAATGAAGGGCATTTACAGGATATTTAGAACTCCAAACACAATACTTCAAAAAACAGACATCTAGAGCCACTCATTTTTTTCTCAGTTGCATCATTGATCTCTTAATAGTCGTATACTGAGAATGTGCCATGTGCCAAGCACCATGCTAAGTACAGTTACAGAGAAAATTGCAAGTCTTTGTTGGCCAGGGAAGAAGTATGATCTAGAAAAAAAATAACAGAACTACAAAACAAACCGGTAAACATGTCTCTCTAAGAAGCACAGAGCACTGTAGGTGGTACTGCTTTCCTCGGAATGAAGTTGAGAACTTTTTTCAGAGGGAGCTGCATCTGAGCTAAGTTTTTCAGATCTAGAGGCAACCAGACTAAGGAAAGTGAAGTGACAGTGAAGCAAAAGTCGCTCAGTCGTGTCTGACTCTTTGTGACCCCATAGACTGTAGCCCTCCAAGCTCCCCTGTCCATAGAACTCTCCAGGCAAGAATACTGGAGTGAGTTGCCATTTCCTTCTCCAAGACAAAGGAAAGGTATGTGTCAATGAACAGATAATGAGAACACATGCTTGTTGGGAAACCCAGGTGCTGATAAGGACAGGGATACTAATAATAAAAGTAATAGAGATATAGTAACTAACACTTTTATAGCATTTACAGTGTGACAAATCCTGTTCTTAAGCATTTTACAAATTCTAACTCATTGAACACCTAGAGCTTATGGTTCTAGGAGTTAAAAAAACTGGGAGAAGCCAAATTCAAAAGTAGACGTTTCCAGATCTTGGTGGTTTTGTGAGTAGGCTTGGAGAATTAGGATTTAACTAGAGGGTGATGGTTATGAAAGGGCATGATTTGATCTTGACCAAGTAGATGTTTTACAATGATTAAGACTCTTGAGAGCCCCTTGGACTACAAAGAGATCAAACCAGTTCATCCTAAAGGAAATCAGTGTTGAATATTCATTGGAAGGACTGATGCTGAAGCTGAAGCTCCAATACTTTGGCCACCTGATGTGAAGAGCCAACTCATTAGAAAAGATCCTGATGTTGGGAAAGATTGAAGGCAGGAGGAGAAGGCGGTGACAGAGGATGAGGTGGTTGGATGGCATCTCTCACTCGATGGACATGAGCTTGAGTAAGCTCCAGGAGTTGGTGAAGGACAGGGAAGCCTGGCATGCTGCAGTCCATGGGGTTGAAAAGAGCTGAACATGACTGAGAGACTGAACTGAACTGACTTTTATTGCATGATGATGGCTGGATATGAGTGAGCTTCAGGCCAGAGACTGGAAGATCAGTGAACAGACTGCTGGCAAGTTCCAGCTGAGCTATTTGAGCACCTGAATTAGGAAGCAGTGTTGGGAGGAGTCAAGATGTGATTGATTAACTCACTGGGGGCCACACAGCGAGGTACAGAGTTTGTTCTTTTCTACCAGCTTTGAGAAAAACAATGGAATTGAGGTCGGCCTAATACATGATGTTTTACATCTTAATGTAAATTTTGATGTGTTAGGGCACAAGCATACTCTTTCTGAGTCTCTAGTCTTTGAAAAAAAAAGTGAAAGTGTTAGCTGCTCGGTCCCATCCAACTCTTTGAGACCCCGTGGACTGTAGCCCACCAGGTTCCTCTATCCATGGAATTCTCCAGGCAAGAATACTAGAATGGGTAGCCATTCCCTTCTCCTGGGGATCTTCCCAACCCAGAGATTGACATTGCGGGCAGATTCTTTTCCATCTGAGCCACTGTCTTCCTTACTTCATAGTGTCTCCCATAGTGTCTCTCAGGAAACATCCCTGACCATGGCCTCTGGACTTCACTCCTTACCAGCTGGGCTATCTGATAGACCACTTTATTTCCCTGAGCCTCAGTTTCCTCACATGTTAAATGATGGTGGTAAGGCCTGCTCTGCTTACATGCAGATCAGGTTGACGCAAATTTGTGCTTTATGAATATTGAGCTGTGATGTAATGTGAGGAGTGTATTGTGCAGATAGAGAAGAGGGTGAGGATGAGGACGAGGATACAGATAGCCCCACCTTTCCAGAAGCCATCTCCCTTCGGTCTCTGATGGTTCACTAGGCAAATAATCCACCTGCCAATGCAGGAGACGCTGGAGACGTGGGTTCCATCCCTGGGTCAGGAAGACCTCCTAGAGGAGGAAATGGCAACCCACTCCAGTATTCTTGCCTGGAAGATCCCACGGACAGAGGAGCCTGGCAGTTTATAGTCCAAAGGGTCGCAGAGTCAGATACAACTGAGCACAACTGGCTAGGCTTTTTCACAGACGAAGCCCTATCCATCAACTTAATCCTTCACAGTACCTGTCCTGAGCTCCTTCCCCTTCCAGAAAAAAATAATAATAATTTCTGTCTATTCTCTTGCCCCATTAAAATTATGCTCATAACTCAGCCTTTACATTGAAAAGATTGCAGTCCTTAAATAGTGCTTAGTTTTTGGTAGATTATTATTGATATCTGCTTCAGGACCTAAAGCCCCTAGATGTGCTGGGACTAGGAGGACACTTTTAAATATATGTATGTACCTGTATGTTTAGACTTGAAGACCAGAGTGTTTTTGTTGCTATATTATTTAATTATTCAAAATAGAAGTCACCTACTATGGAAAATGACTGCTTGCAACATGTAATTTGCCTTCCAAACAAGCTCATTTGTGCTTTCACATTTGACAGAGAAAGGTCTGGGAAGATGAGCTGTTCAGAAAGGGTGTCTCTGCATCTGACACTGCCTGAACTTTGGTAGGTTGATTTTTACAATCGCCAGATCATCAAAGGTTACACTCATTTAAATTCTCCCTTTACTAACAAAGAAAGGAAACAGAATGCCACAAGCTGCCTTAACCTGCTGTCCTCCACTACACACGCCAGCTGAGGACTCTCAGAAAATCCTTGATGTCTGCCCAAGGTGCCGTGAATTTGACAAAGTTAATCTATCACACCCCTGTGCGCATTTTCTGCATCCTTTCCCCTCTTTGAAAATGCAGCGGTCTCCTGCTCTTTTGAAATCTGCTCTGTATAAAAGCGCTCTTCCATCAGTACTCATTCAGCTCTCCATTTTTCCACTTTCCAGACATTCTTGGGTTGTTTGTTGTCAGGCGCAGAGCTGGGGCACTGGGTATCTAGGGCTAAATGTGTCTGCTCTCTCCATCTCTTTCCTGAAATGCTGAAATAATCTTCTGAGTAGTGTTCCTTCCCTGTTTGGCTCTAGTCTTTCCTCCATGGGCACACTGGGGCCTCTGAT